TTCACCCTGGGGGATTTTTGGAGTTACTCATATGTCAAGCTGACACGTTGTATTTAATTTCATTAGACAAGTTTTTACAGCAGTGTCCGCTTATTTATAATGTCTTGACAAAACTTGGCTTCATGTTAATGACCTTTAAATGAACAATTCAGCCTCTGAAGACAGACTTAAAACTGAACGTAGGGACATGTTTTGGTATTTTGTTCTTACCCTGTGATTGACAGGTGGAATAATTGTGAAATGCTTCTGGATCATTCCACCGTCGCAGGAGAAATCTGTACTACGCACTCCCTAAAACCACAAACAAATGTAAAACATAAGATCATATAGTAAATAATGCCCATAAATGTTCATTTAAAGTGAGTAGAATGTATGGTAGTTGAAATTTGTCTTCATTATATATTCTGTGTCTTGACAACGTGAAGCGGAACAGTATTAACTCCCATTTGGAACAATGTAATGCCGTAATGTGACACTTTTCTGAGGTAAAGTTCAGTTGAAATTAAACAGGATGTATTACTGTACTTGTGTATAAAGTAAATGGTGTCAATTGTGATCTCAAGTTACTACTAATTCTGTGTTTAAGACTGGACAGCCCACTGACAAACCTCTGAAGTGATAGATAAGATCTGTTTCCCATTCCCAGCGCAAGCCGACACCTTTTAAAGTTGACCGGCCCCAACAAGTGTGTGTGTGTGTGTGTGAGAGAGAGAGAGAGAGAGAGAGAGAGAGAGAGAGAGAGAGAGAGAGAGAGAGAGAGAGAGAGAGAGAGAGAGAGAGAGACAGAGAGACAGAGAGACAGAGAGAGAGAGAGAGAGAGAGAGACAGAGACAGAGACAGAGACAGAGACAGAGACAGAGACAGAGACAGAGACAGAGACAGAGACAGAGACAGAGACAGAGACAGAGACAGAGACAGAGACAGAGACAGAGAGAGAGAGAGAGAGAGAGAGAGAGAGAGAGAGAGAGATCCTTCTAGGAGAAAGCCCAGCGAGCTCAAACCTGGCTGCCAGATATGTGAGGTCCTGTCACGAAGAAAGAGCCTCCGGCAGGACAGAGCTACCGACTGTACGCCTAGAGACACTGAGATAGATACTAGAAGATTGAAGATTTTTAATATTATTATTATTATTAATAATTTATTTTAATTTTTATTTATAATTATTTATTTATTTGTTTGTATTGTATAGTGTTATGAGTGCTTTGGCAATGTAAAGATTTCTTTCACCATGCCAATAAAGCTATTTGAATTGAATTGAATTGAATTGAAGAGAGAGAGAGAGAGAGAGAGAGAGAGAGAGAGAGAGAGAGAGAGAGAGAGAGAGAGAGAGAGAGAGAGAGAGAGAGAGAGAGAGAGAGAGACAGAGAGACAGAGAGACAGAGAGACAGAGAGACAGAGAGAGAGAGGGTTTTGTTCAGGGGAAATGTCAAATTTTCAGTTCGCTCTTATGTTGTATCAACTTGTCGGTGATGTACATTTGAAATTCTCCCTTCAATGTGCCTCATCGCAGTCCTGATCTCATTTGCACTCTATCTCGCAGTCACCTCCACTTGAGGAAAATGAATCTTCAGTTTAAAGCGAGCAGGATTTAAGCAGTCTGAGGAAAATGTCAGCATGTCTGCCTGAACGACTATTGACAGAAAGATCTGTGAAGCAGAAAGCAATTTAAGAAGAAAAGGGCCATTTTACTGTCACTGTGCATCGCAGAATAACCATGACAATCTGCTATTATCACTAAACACAAGTCAATGGACATGCCGCATAAACAAACAAATAACAGTATGAGGTTTGTTAAGTCGCTTACTGTGATAAAACCAACAGAAAGGTGTTTAAATTGGACAGATACTCAATCAAATCACTTCTGGTGTGTTAAGGCTAGCTTGAAGTAGCTTCACTATTGCTATTGCTACTAGTTAGCGTTAGCAATCTCTTCTGAGTTTGTCTATAAACAACCACATATAAAACACCCAGAACACCTTAGCAATCACATAGGAACACCCTAGAAAGTACTTAGAAGATGTTAACATAGTGGTACTTAGCATCACTAACATTTTCTTCAGGAAAGAGTTTTAATTACACTGAATAAAAAAAAACCACTGTATATATATATATATATATACATACACCATATAAATACAATTATAATACCTTGACCTCAACATTATTTGATATTAACACATTAATTTGACAGCTAATGGATAAGCTTGATAAAGATGTCTACCACACAGAAGTCGTTTAGCATTACTGATAGTTGTGCTAATTGTTCAGTATTATAGTTTGAATACTCTATTTTGTGAATATGTACATTGTTTTATGTGTTTCAGCTAGGATGGCTAAGTGGGTTTATTTCAGTGCTCTCAGACTTTGACCTTTGACCAGGAAAAGCATGGCATTACCAAGTGCGTAAGTTATTTCAATAAACTCCCAAAATCATGATTTAATTAGCATCATTGGTGACACATATAATGATCTTTGAGCTGGGATGTGCACATACTGGTCTGACCGCGGCACTTCACCTCACAGAGCGATGTGAGATGCTACAGACAAAGGGTTTTCATGCAGTTACCATTGGATACTGGAGCAAGGTAGATTCCAAATTATTAGCTGTACATTGGGTCAATATTTGCTCTCATTTCACGGAACAAACTTGAAGGAATGTGTGCCAATATACAATGACCCTCCCTCAACACACACACGCACACACACATCAGCAGCTACAGTCATCATCTCTCTGACGGCCTCAGCGGTTTGTGTGTTGTGGGTGAGAAGATTCATAGAGCTCATTGTATTATATTGGCAGTATATCTTCACAGAGAATAAATGATCTATAAACTGAAGACAATAGAAAAACTATCTATCTGTAGTATCTATCTATATCCATCTATCTGTCAGTCTGTCTGTAGTATTTATCTATCTGTCTGTCTGTCTATCTGTAGTTTATATCTGTAGTATCTATCTGTCTGTCTATCTGTAGTATATATCTGTAGTATCTGTCTATCTATCTGTCTGTCTGTCTGTTTGTCTGTCTGTCTGTAGTATCTATCTCTATCTGTCTGTCTGTCTGTTTGTCTGTCTGTCTGTAGTATCTATCTCTATCTGTCTGTCTGTCTGTTTGTCTGTCTGTCTGTAGTATCTATCTCTATCTGTCTGTCTGTCTGTCTATCTATCTATCTGTCTGTCTGTCTATCTGTCTGTTTGTCTGTCTGTAGTATCTATATGTATCTGTTTATCTGTCTGTCTGTATTATCTGTCTGTCTGTATTATCTATCTGTCTGTCTATCTATCTATATATCTATCTGTCTATCATCTATCTATCTATCTATCTATCTATCTATCTATCTATCTATCTATCTATCTATCTATCTATCTATCTATCTATCTTTCTGTCTATCTGTCTGTTTGTCTGTAGTATCTATCTCTGTCTGTCTGTCTGTCTTTCTGTCTGTCTGTCGTATCTCTATCTATCTATCTATCTATCTGTAGTATCTATCTGTCTATCTGTCTGTCTATCATGTCTGTCTATAGTATCCATCTATGTATCTGTCTATCTGTCTGTGTGTCTATCTGTCTGTCTATCTGTCTGTCTGTCTGTCTGTCTGTCTGTCTGTTTGTCTGTCTGTAGTATCTATCTCTATCTGTCTATCTATCTATCTATCTGTCTGTCTATCTGTCTGTCTGTATTATCTGTCTGTCTGTATTATCTATCTGTCTGTATTATCTATCTGTCTGTCTATCTATCTATCTGTCTATCTATCTATCTATCTATCTATCTATCTATCTATCTATCTATCTATCTATCTATCTATCTATCTATCTATCTATCTATCTATCTATCTATCTATCTATCTATCGAACTTTTGTCTGTTAGTAATCTCTCTCTCACACTCTCTGTCAGACAGACATGTTCACAGCATCTACTTTAAGAGCCGATGACTTGCAGATGTAACGTGTAGCAGATAAATATACGCTGGCTCCGTGTCTTCCAGAAGGGCTGTTTCTGCTCCAGTGCCTCCACACCTGCAACTGCTCTATAGCCAACATGATATGATTATTAGATCAGTTTTGTGTGTGTGTGTGTGTGTGTGTGTGTGTGTGTGTGTGTGTGTGTGTGTGTGTGTGTGTGTGTGTGTGTCTGTCCCATTTAAACATACACCTGCTCCTGTGGTCAAATTTATATTCATGATTTTTTGATTACTTCACATTTCTCTGTAAATGAAATCTGAACAAATCAACTCGGAGGATAGAATGAAATACTACATCTAAAATATTTTAAACAGAATTTTTGTCCTTATTTTATTGTGAAGAATGTACATGGAGTATTACTCTTAAAAAATAATTTATCAAAATACAGAACCTCTGGACAATATATACTGTCAAGTTTACAGCATCTACTGTAAGAGCCAATGACTTGCTGATGGAATGAATGTGTATAGCAGATAAATATATGCTGAGTCTGTGTTTTCCAGAAGGTATTATAGTGTCTATTATGTATTATAGAGTCAACCGGGGTAAGTTGTCACACATTTCAGTGTAGGTTTATTTTTTTAAATAACAAGAAAAAAGTTGAGTCAGCACACAAAACAGCAGAAATGGCACAGGTGTCATTTGTTTTTTTTTGGAGTTATTTTTTTTTTTTTTTTTTATTACATCATTAACACATCTCTATATGATGATGATTATGATGATGTTATGTAGTTTGAAGGGCAAAAATATATATTCAAGACAGTCGGAACGAGATGTTTGAAATCATACTAAACTACTGCTAAAAAAACGAGCATTTTGTCATTGGAGATGCATCACATTTTCTCTTCATAAAGCTAAAAGCAAATTCATATTTATTAAGGCCTGTAGGATGCGCTCTTTCCCTCTCCCTGCTAAAGGAAAGGGGAGGATCTCAGGATGTCTTCAAGGACAGCGATTGGTTTACCAGGCGCATATAAAACACACCACATACCCAAAAAGTGAGAGGGCTGTAATTCAAGCAGTTGATGTATATCTCTGCAAGAGAGAGAGAGAGAGTGTGTAGCGTGTAGAAAGAGAGAGATCAGAACACGGACAGAGGGAATCCGCACCTTTCCAAGAGTGATTATAGAAAGCTGTGCGTGTGTGCTCCTCCGCGGACTTGCGCGTAAAAACAATCAATGAAGGAGAGAAGATCTATTCAGAAACTGTCCCTTCAGCCCGGAATGGATCCGAGTCAGAGCCTCAAATGTAAGATCGTGGTCGTGGGGGACAGTCAGTGTGGGAAAACCGCTCTGCTCCACGTTTTTGCTAAGGACTGCTTCCCAGAGGTGAGATGCGTAAAATCCAGTGGGTGCTCAACTGAGCCTTACGATATAGGCATTAGATTTGGGCATGTGCTTTCATTTCTGTAGTCTATCTATATTTGAATCTCTTAAGATAGACATGTTTGATAAGATTTGCAATTTTCTTTCATGTTTCTTTATCCTAGAATTACGTGCCCACTGTGTTTGAGAATTACACCGCAAGTTTTGAGATTGACAAGCAGAGAATAGAGCTCAGCCTGTGGGACACCTCAGGTGAGTCTCAAATCATGTTTTTGTCCTGTACCATTTAGTTCAAATGTGTTGCATTATAAAGTGCAATATACACTAAATATATACTGTAGTAGTCTTCATCCCTTCTCGGGACCCTTTGGTGAATAGAGAACCAGAGCGGGGACCCCTTGTTACATATTTTATAAAATTGAGTGTCGTGTGTTAAGTGTGGTCTATAATGATATGCATATATTACCATATTATTGTATCAATGCTGAACTTTAGCTTCTTTAGTTTTATTTGGAGTTGAATAAGTTCATATATAAAAATAAAAATGTGTTTTAGATCAAACATTAATTTGCGAATTACCTTCAGTAGCATCACAGACCCCCTTTGAAGACCCCCTCAATATTGATATGCAGCGTAAATATATATATGCGCTATATAATGCCATAATGTTGTGAACATTGTGGCTGTTAATATACAATGAAGTCAGTAAATGCAGGCCTTGTTACAATTTAAAAAGTAAGTGTTTTACCTATGAAGCTTCAGAAGTTGTATTTTATGTCCATTTAGTTCATTTACGAGACGTTTTTTCAAGACATGTCCAGACTTGTTGTGTTTATTCATAAAGTCAGTGAATATTTCATCATTTTGATGCATCAGTGTGTTGTGCAGAGTAATGATGTGATTGTTAACGCTTACGTTTACGCCTGGAGGAAAATCTGGATTTGTTTAATAGCTTTTCTTTCTTATTCTGAACGGTTGAGCGATTCTTGGTTGTTGAGTCAGTGCGACAGGCTGCCAAGCGTTTAATAACACACACACACACACACACACACACACACACACCCTTGCTCATACACTCTCACACACTCCACCCATCTGTGGAATATGATCCGCGGACACCTCACTTTTAAGGAATGTTAGGATGGCATCACCGGGAACGTCGCTGTAAGTGATGTTTTGGATAAACAAATGAAACCAAAACTGTTGCCACAGCTGGGGTCGTGCTGCAATTCACACGTTTAACAAAACCAAACAGCCGTTACCACACAGGCAAATTAGAGGAGGGTCTTGACTCGCTCCGTCTGAATGTAGAGTATTGGTACGTTTCCAGAGCTTGCGCCCGGATCACCCATGAGAGATCAGACCTGCTGTCTGGAGGTAATCACAGGCCCTGTAAAGCATCCAGCCAGACAGACTGCTTTAGACGGTGGCCTCTTTGGAGCTTAGCTATGATCTGGGGTAAATGCATTCAGACCTGAACCTGGGGCTTTAGTTGTTTGGTGCTGTGTGTGGTCTGAAATGAACAGTTATGTGCTAAATATTTCCTTCACCATTAACCCTCTGGGGACCAGAGTGTTTTTGGGGCCCTTTGGATGTTTTGACTTGCTCTGACATTTGTGCTTTTTTCAGTTGCTTATAAACATATTAATGGCACAGGTGAAATTAAACTCTATTTAGCACAAACAGGTCTACCATAATGTGTGAGCAACATGTATGTACATGTCATTTCAGTAGCCTAATTTCAGTATTGTGATTATGAATTATTTTAACTACGTTTCACTTGTTGAATTCATCTGCTACCAGCTTTCAATCGCTCTGAATCAGTGCGGTGCGGCAGCAGATTACGCATTAGAGAGAATAAACAAACACTTTTCAGAGTCTATGATTGTAGCGCCTCTTGGCGGTAAAAGGCAGAAAATACACCCCACATTTTACCGCCGCGGTGGAACGGCTGATGTGGGCGTTGTCATGGCTTGCCTCAACATTTGCGTTTGAATAGCGCGCGTCCTCCATGGGCGTGTCAGATTAACGCGTAATGAAGTGTAATGAGCTGGGGGAAAAAAATCTGACAGCACTCTCTTTTCATACAGATTACATAAACTGAGAATATTTGTTTTTTATATAAATTACATCATTGAAAAGAAGAGAATTCAAGCTTCATAAAGAAAAATCTCTCGTGCCTGTATGACAAGTATTTGCAGAGTTAGAGTTAATTTTTCGGACGTGTTTCAGAATGGACTGCACTGACAGAGAGAAGGCAAAACTCGCATCATGTTTATTTTTCTTTATTTGACAAAAAGCACAAAACTTTGTTTTTATTGTGAGTATACAGAAAAATAATAGACAATTAACAGGATCGATTGATGTATAACACTTATATGTACGATCAAAATCAACAGAGTATTTTAAGTCTATTTTTCTGCTATGTGAAAAAAAAACGGCAAAACGCGCGGGCGCGTTTCTGGTCCCCAGAGGGTTAAGCCACCAAGCTTCCTAAATAGGTAAACCAGGAAGGGAATGCTGTTTGATCAACTTTACCAGCTAGGTTTTGCAGCCTGGCCAGGTAGATCAACACCAAATCAGCTAAGCGGGTCTTTTCAGCCACGTGCAAATAGTAATTTCCTGTTGCTAAAGTTATATTCTCAATCTGAATTAATTTCTTGCATCCAAAACCATGTGCCAGTCTGGAGTCATTTCCTAAATCAAGAACCATGTGCTAATTTGACCTGCTGAAAGGCTAGCACAGCTGGTCACAAGCTTATGTTGTGTTTTGAATGCTGGTATGCTAGAGTCTAGGCTTCTTAACTATCTTAACCAGCAAAACTTGATACTTGTGAACAGCATTGCTATGCTGGTTCATTGGCTAGACCAGCACCAAACCAGCATTGGCAAAAAAGGACATTCATGCTAGTTCATTTATCGCATGGTAGAATCAGTCCTAGATCTAGAGAACTGAGCTGACCTAAAATCAAATCTGCTGCCATTTTCTGAATATGAAATGTGAATCTATATTATAAATCTAAACATAAAATTGAGCTAGTCCCTAAAACTAGAGGAATGTGCTACAATCTTGAGAGCAAATTCCAACATTTGGATTCATCTGGATCAATTTCCTGAATAATAGTCTGTCCTAAATTGGAATTACTTGAGCCAAGTGTTAATCTAGAGTTATTGCTTAAATCCAGAATAATTTTCTCAATCAAGAGCCATTTTAAAGCTCAAATTAGAGCTATATCTGATGATAATTCGATGCATGGTGGTTCAGTTTGGCTTGCGATGTAGGTAGGTACAGGAAAGTGTTCAGCTGACAGATGTCTGCGGTAGGCGTCTGCGGGCAGGGCCGCCCGTCTGGTACTGACGTTTGGATATGTAGTTAGTTGCTTGTTTCAGGCTGTGGGCTTCCAGTCTGCTGTTCATTACTGTGTAAGTTATTGTGTCAGAGACAGGCTCCAAGGTCTCCCCAGCGTGTGTGCGGTCTTTTCTCTCAAATGCCTAAGTCCGGGATTTAACAAGTTCCAAACACACCTGAGCACATTCCAGATAATGAGAGAAAGAAACATGTGGACTAGGCAACCTTGTGCATTTGCCCTCAAATAATCTTACATTTATTTCCTTGGGAACAGTTGATGAATTCGGGGGTTGCTCCTTGAATTGCCCGAATGGATAGTTTCTTGGCATCTCTTCTTTTTGCTGCTTTGTTTCCAACAGCTGCCACCCCCCTCAACCAAGAGGCTGACTGCTCTTGTCATTGTCCACCAATCAGCTGTTGAGTCACGACCCCATTCACCATTCAGCTGGTGATATCCGTCACTGATCCGCCATGGAACCCATTAATACAGTAGAATACATGCGTACCATTCCGAATTCAAACAGTTCGCTTTTGAGAAAGTACAACCTAGAGTTTTTTTCGTCGAGTACAAAAGAGGTGAATACAAATGTGTTTCTTTTTGTTTGTTTTAGTTTTGATTGAGCTCGATTCTTGCGTAACATCTTTTTTAGGACTCTCGCCCATTGTTGTGTTTGTTAAAATGATTTCCGTTTACGGCAATGCAAAACCGAGCGATCTTTGTTCATTATTTCAATGTCAATGTGCCGTCGCCAGTCCGCCGCATGAATGTTTCATTAGGGGTTTCTTGAGTATATTGATTCTAGGGTTTAGTAAGGCCTTCTAAATCTGAAACCCAATTGTGTATGTGCATGTATTGTGTGTTATACGCCACACAAGAAGTCAGGATTACACTACCGGTGACGAGGGACCGCGTGCTCTCTGATCTTCTCGATGGCCATGAGCATGCATGTGTATATCCCCTAACAGCCGATCCTCTGCGGAATCAGACCCCTTCCCCCATTTCTGCTCTTCCAGACACTTATTGACCAGAAACCCCCTGTAGATATGAAGCCAGAATCTTGACATGCCTGTCTGAAAGGTTCCTTATCCACCAGTCAGACCACGATCAATCAATACATGCACACTGCTCTGGGATCGTTTTGTTCCTTTGTGAGTTGTACATTTTTACAATAAGCATATTGTTTCGGAAAACTATAGTGCCAAATTCAGTCCATTGTTCCTCAAGCGTCCTATCTCTTTGCTCCCCTTGGGCCGGTGAAAGATACGCTGTCATGACACAATTCGATTGGATGGAGTCTTTGAATTGGCAACTTTGATTGGGTGACCTTGTGAGATGTCACTTTTTTGCAGCTGAAATGTTTTATCAAACTCCTTGATCAGATTGCTGAGGTTGTGGGCTGAAAGGTGGAATAGATACTTCCTTATAAAAATGTAATGTGAATCTCTAGCACAGAGCCTAACAACTTACCTAACACATTTACACTCTGCAATGTGATGTATTTTACACTGAAATAGGCTATTAATTGGGAAATAATGAAAGGTGTGGCTTGATATTCATTGATGTTTGATTGGATCTTGAAAAGTGGTTCTTTATGGTCAAAAATCACAACTAGTAGGATATCCTAGAGGCTTAGGGTGTTGGGTGCTCTTTGACTTTGGCCAGTAAGATACCATCTAGCAACTATTCAGAACACCCTAGCAACCACTTATCTGTTCTATAGAAACCACGCACCAGACCCTAGCACTGTTTTAGCATGCACTGTAAAAATGATATGATCAATAAGCTACGACATGTTTTTATATTGCTTTAACTCATCAAAATAAGTTAAGAAATGTTCTACTTTTTTATAAGTTATACAAGATTCAACTCATTTTTAAAGTCAGTTTAATGTCATTTAAGTTGAAATGACTTACATTTTTAAGTACAATCAACTTGTACTTGTTTAAGGATGTTTAAGGCAGCAACTTTTTTTTACAGTGGGGCACACTTTTCCACTCTTCTTTGCGAAATGTACAAATCTAGTTTCATTTTGATGAAAGACAAAGAAAACAAAGCTGCGGAATTACACCAGGGACAATTATTAAGTAGGCAAATAGTCCATTTTTGATGTTCGTGTTGTTTTTAGAGCTGAAATAAAGAGAAATCTTAAGCAGTTGGGGTTGCATTTGGAATTTGTAGATTTAGAAGTTAAATTATAAATGATTCTAAGTGTTTGCTTAATTTCGTTTATACATTCAAAAACTTCTTACACTTCCTACATTTTATTTTGTAAATAAGTGTCATTCAGCTATTGCATTTTTTTCAATGTCTTGACCTAAGACGTTGTTATCTAACCTTCTTAATCCAACCCTTGACTGTTATCAGCAAGGGAAGACCTCATTATCAACTAACCCCCGAAAACAAAACGTTCCCGGGATCATTTGAATGGGCTCCTGCCGGGACAGGCACTCTCAGACCCACTCCTCAAGGCTGGTCAGCTAGTGTCGGTTGGATCATATTTCTAACCTCGGCGATTTGGGCCCGCATGCCTAACATTCCTGTGAGGAAAGGTTTGCTCTCGTAGTCCACAAAGCAGCTATTGTGTGGTGAGCCGTCAGGGGAAAAAAACTGCCATGTGAACCGTTATGTTCTCTGAAATTATTCTTACCTTGTTAGTCAAGGAGGAAATTACATTCAGGAGGAACTTGTGTACTGATGTGGAGTTCAAAAGACCTTTTTGTAAAAGTTTGTAATAGTGGTTTAGCAATTCATCAAGGGATTTTCAGGCGGATTTTGTATAGCTTTATATTTACTTTGCAGAATTGGAGAATTGTTTCTGTTTATTGCTTTGTTTTGATGTAGATTAAGAAGACAGTGAGGGATCTAAGCCAAAAAATGCCAGTGGCCAAGAATTCTTTACTGTGTGTGTGCTTTTACGTGGTTGTAGTCACCACATGTTTAGAGAAGGATTTGAACACACAGGGAATCCATCAGCTGTCAGTATCCCTCACACACACACACACACACACACACACACACACACACACACACACACACACACACACACACACACACACACACACACACACACACACACACAGAGAGAGATAGAGAGACATATGTGTGTGTATTAAGGAATGTAGTTTGTGTTGTGATAGCTATGGTGTCCCACAAGTGTGTGTGTCACTGCAGTTAGCTATTACTTAAACAAATACTGTACAGACACACGCTCAGCGGGGTTTTGGTTTGTTATGTGTGCAGTGCACTGGACAGAGAAATAAAATAATGTGTTTAGTGAGCTGTTTAGAGAGAAAACTTTGTGGGGGGTTGAAGTAGAGAGTGTGTATATGCATGTGTGTGTGTGGGCATCTGTTGTGTGTCTCAGAAAAGGCAGAAGGCCACACTAACAAAAAAGCATTTTTTTTTTTCAAAATAACTGATAATTAGATCTAGATACAGATGTAGTTACTACCTGACATTACAAATAAGTGATTAGATAATTAACCATAATAAAAAGCAAATATATCATGTGAAACAGTAAAACGTTGTCCTCGTTGTTTTCTTGTTTTTTGGCCTGTGGCTGGAATATGAGCTGTAAAGTCCTGCGGCTGCATGTGTTTTCAACTTCACATTTTTCTACTTAACTTCTGGCACTGTGAATTATCATTCTGTCAAACTAAACAGCCCTCCCTTCTCTCTCTCTCTCTCTCTCTCTCGTAAACACCACTTCTGTCCTGGAATCTGGCACGTTATAAATGTGTTTGTCCTGTGTGGATTTTACATACCGTGTCTGGCAGAGTTAGCGATGGGTGGGAATGCTTCGTTCTGTCAGAGTAAATCCTGGATTGTACTGTCCTCAAAAAGAAAAACATCTCCGGTTTTAGCCAGGAAGGGAAATGCTACATCTGGCAAGGGTCTAGTTATTAACTGCGTTTGCGAAGGCAAGCATCAGTATTTTTCTTGCTCATACTTTGATTTAGGAAGTGTCTTGTGCTTGTGTAAATTGTTATGAATCATAATTTAGCACTAGCTAAACTATCCGCATTGCACCAGTGACAAAGAACTGGAAGTGTTCTGTGTACTGAGCTTTTTTTTTTTTTTATGAATAAAAACCGATTTAAAGGCTTTTTCATTCCTTCTGGAAAGCAAAAGCGTGCAATTATCTGTAAAAGTTTCATGTTTAGTGTGTCTGAAGAGGAGCTTCAATGGTTTAAAAATTCATGAATGCTTTCAAATTACTGTCTGTACTGCGTCGCTGAGTGAAAGTTAAATGAGGTTAAGTAATATTTTGACAGCCCTCCAGACAGAACCACTATCCTTCTTCAGTTCTCTGAGCGTGCGAATGTTCAAGCAAACTTGTTTTCCTGACCAATCCACCTTTTTGTGTTACAGGTTCCCCATACTATGACAACGTCAGACCACTCTCATATCCAGATTCGGACGCCGTCATCATATGTTTTGACATCAGCAGGCCGGAGACCCTGGACAGTGTCCTAAAGAAGGTGAACATTTTTAAACCAGTAGTACTGAGCTGACACACTTAATGTGAGCTAAACAACTAGGATATTCCTTTATTAACATCCATTGTTGTTCCTGGAATGATATTGATACCAACCAATCAGATTTTAGGACTGGGGTTGGGGTTCTTGAAGAACATTCCCGTAAACCAGTCAGAATTTAGGATACAGAACAAAGGATAAATGTTTTATTGTCTAAGTAGTTGACATCTTGGTGCAAAATACGGGTGTGGTGCACTGAATTTTGTGAGTTTCTTGGATATCGAACCGTAGGCTTGACCTTACTGGTTCCCAACAGTCTAATTGGCTTTTAAATGCCTTGACTGTGATTCAGAGAAATTCTTCTACAAGTCCTTTTTGTTCTTCCCACTCTTTGTTGCATCCCAATAAAGTCGTCCTTTGTTTGGTAGGGTTAGATATCTTCTCGTAGACTCTCAGTCTGGGGTCAGGTGTCTGAAATGCCCTATGGCTCAGTTTCACTCCCCCTTTATAGTATTATGCTGGCATTAACTAGACCATGTGAGTGGAAGTTCAGCCCGATTGTCTTAAAACGGTTGAAATCTGGGTCGCAGAATCGGAAATACGATCAGGCTACACGTGGGTCCCTGCTTGGAATAAGCTAGTGCTGTCTCCCGGCCTCTGGGAACCAGAGGTGAGCACAAAAGGATCATGGGAATGAGGGAATGTAGGGTGTCCGTGTTCCTGTGTGAACAATCGTATGGCTGTGTTGTACCCGCCTGTCTCCCGCCAGATTAAATCCGGTGATTTAATGCCACACCGACACAAAAAATGCTTTGTTTGGGAAGGACAGGAATGCAGATCACCTGTAGCATTGTTGTGAAGAAGCACACACAGATACACACCCTGAAAAGCAGTCATTACAGTGCAAGCTTTATCCCCACAGGAAGCATGTGCCTCACCTCTAGCAAGGAAGATTAATGCACTTGTGCTCATGAAAAAAGGGATGGGATGGAACGTGATCTGCTAAGAGAATGGAAACAGGAAACACTTGTTCTTGTCTTTTGTTCTCTGGATCAAGGCCCGTCGGTTTCATCTTTCCGTGTTGGTTTTGTGTCTTTCTTTCACAGTGGAAAGGAGAGATCCAGGAATTCTGTCCCAACACAAAGATGCTCCTCGTCGGATGCAAGTCAGACCTTAGAACGGACCTCACGACTTTAGTGGAGCTGTCCAATCACAGACAGACGCCGGTGTCCTACGATCAGGTGGGTGGTTCTCTTATAAACTCCATTTGCAATTTGGATGGACGGCATTGAGACACTCAACTTTAGGTCTTTAATTTGCCAAGTTATATAACGCCTATCTTATTACTTTACCAGTAATTACGTTTAGCAGCAAAGGCAGTTCAGCAACATTGCAATGGTCTGGGTTACTAATCTAATCTGTGCATTAAATGTCTGGGTGATAAAAAGCTAAATCTTCCAGTGCTCAAAGCTAAACTTAATTTTGATGAAATTGCAAGCAGTAATCGTAGAACTTCACGAACAAATCGTGACTGAACTGTTAATTGCTGATCAAAGCTCATTATGTCCTCTTTCTCTTTTAGGGTTCAGCTATGGCTAAGCAGATCTCCGCACCTTATATCGAATGCTCCGCAGTGCAGTCGGAGAACAGCGTGCGGGACATTTTCCACGTTGCAACGTTGGCTTGTGTAAATAAGAACAACAAGAACATCAAGCGCAACAAATCGGCACGTGCCACCAAACGCATCTCACATATGCCTAGTCGACCAGATCTTACTGCCGTTGCAACAGACCTACGCAAAGACAAAGCAAAGAGTTGCACGGTCATGTAGTGCAAGGTGTTCGGGGGGAAAGATTTATTCTGGGAAACGGTGAGGGTGAACTGTGGAAGCAAGAAAGGTCTGGAATTCCTTCCATAGACAAAGCAAAAGTGGAGAGCGGGAGTGTTTACTCGATGTCCTTGAAGGTCTCTCCAGTTTGAGGGTTCCAGCTTGTGGACGTAAACCCATAGTACGGCCCCAACCACCTCTCCTAAACTTATCCACTCAGCAGGAGGATGTCACCACCCTCTCGGCCGATCGGAGGCCTTCCTTCCTGCTCCTGGATGTGAAACTGCTTCCTCTCTGGAGGGTTCCTTCTGGAAGCTTCTGCTGCAGGAAAGAAAGGAGGAAGTAGAATCACATAACCATTGAGTCCAGTGTTTCCGCTGAGCTTTGGTTCACAGCTATTTTTAAAAGATGCACATTTCAGTTGGTATTAATGGTCTTGCAACGAAACAGCGAAGGGGAAGATGTCGACTTTCATAATGGCGAAATTTGGAAATTCAGAACTCTCGCTTCTTTCTTTTTGAGTCTGTACAGCTTACCGAGGATATGAAACGAGAGTGTATCACTGTGGTTACGGATCACTTCCTCCTCCGATCCTTCTCGGTCTGTTTTTGTTTCTTCTGTAGACCAAGAGCACGAGTTTGTGTGTGTGTGCGTGGTTTTCGTTTTCTAATGCTAAGCTCAGCTAAAACCGTCACCATGGATACGCCGCTGGTATATTTGAACTCGCACTGTTTTCTGTATAACTCCTCATAATCACATTACTGTTCATTAGGATTCAGAAAAAGAAAAACCAAAGAACTGGAAGGTTTTCAAGTCGGATGAATCGATGTTTGACGTTCTGGAGTGCATGATGGATGTGTGTTTGAGGGCTTTTGGTGGATCAATGAGAATTTCTTTCACGGTTCCGTAAGAACATGGTTCCACTTTATATGGAAGCGCAAATATGACATTTGAGAATTGACCCGATCATTTAGTTTTCATTTGCATTCGTTTTATCCCTGAAGGGGCATTCACATTGACAGAGATTTGCAGGGACAAAACATCTGGAAGTCTTTAATTTGCAATGAGAGTTGGTGATTTGAGGTCTCATTAGCAAGAGGGTCTCTTGTTTACAATTCAATGCAGTTTTGAGTTCAACTTCATGCAAATCTGAAACAAAAATAATGGCGGGACTGCACAAAAGTCTGTTAGCATGCTAATTTATTTAAGCATTTCCTCTGAAAATTACAAAAATATAAGACAATGTTTAAAATTTTTTACATATTTCAGACAAAATCTTGCTAAACTAGACAACCTTGTTAAATGACAAATCAGTTTTTGAACTACTAATTGATCATTGTGTAGAAACCAATTGTATAGCAAGTTGTCGAAATCCAGTGATTTAATCTCTCAGTGTGAATGCCTCATAAGAAAAACAACACTATTGCAGTAACAAATGATTGTTGAACAAGCACATAAATAGCTTTTCGTTGTTAAAGTCGTTATCTGTAAAATGTTACATGAACATTTGTGCCTTTTGTGACATTCTTTTGTTTAAGCACAATTGTTAAAATGTTAAATAAACAATCAAAAATCAAATTCAAGGTCATATTAAACCTGCGCTTCTATCTGCCCAGCCCAAGAAAGAAAATAATGCTTTTCGAAAAAAATTTATCTCCTCTCTACTAAACTATGCAGTCTGCTTCTGAACACACGCGAGAGGATTGAGAAAAAACGATTCATTCTTTTTCTTTCAAAACAAAAATTTCTTGTGACTCGGTATATTGCCTTGCAGAGCCGTGGAAGACTATGCATTCCACTGTTGTAGTGTTTAAAGTTTCTCAAAACAAAAATCTTCAGAAGTTTTAAGCTAGCTGCAAAATCTCTTTGCTGCATGTTTGTAGTTGCACTTTTTGTTTAAACTGGCGCAAAAACAAACCTTTTTGTTTCATTTGTCTTTGTTTTTAATGGGTCAGAGAGAAATTTCTCGGCCGTGTCACAAATTTGTTTTCACATAGACAGTATTACAAATTTTGGTGTGTAAATGTTGAGAAATGTGTAGGTGCTTATAAAAAAACAAAAACAAAATATTTCCTAATGTAGGATGTCTGTAATTTTTTAATGCCTTCTGTGTGTTGAGGTCCATGTATGTCTGTTTTGTTGATGTTCCCATAATATTTATTGAATTATATATATTTTTTTCCCTTCTAAATAAATCCAAAAATAAAATGAAAAGGATCTTTTTGATATGAAATGTTTTCCTTTTGCTTGTCTTGTGGGTCATCAACAACAGGGAATGTCAGAGTGTGTATATATATATATATATATATATATATATATATATATATATACATATACATTATAATAATGTATATAAGCTGGCATGTGTTTGAGATTCATCGTCTCATTCCTAATGACTCATTCCTTATTACATTCCAAGTGTGACTTTGCCCTGGGCATCGGATCTCTTCCTGTGTGTTCCTCAAATTCATTCATGCGGTTTCGGGTCACTTCCCCCTGCGGAAGGAAATGACCTTCAGATGACCTTCACCCAGCCCTTTCCGGAGTCTTCATTCACAAACCCCACGGGCCTGTAGTTCAGAGCGTTCTAGCTTCATCTTATGCAGTTAGAGCTGGAAATATACGCATAATTTCCTTCATTTCAGTTTTGTATTGTGTAGATGAAGTCACACTGAGTTGGCCAAAGCTCTTTGACCTATACCATTCAAAACATTAAATGTGGCTTTTCTTAGACAAATATGGCATCAACTATTCTCCATGTGGTTCAGATGAACACTATTCATCATTAACTCTGAATATGAAAGCTGTCGTTCAGGTATAGAAATGCCGCATTGATAAGGCCGGAATATTCGTTCTTTTATCCTCGCCGTCTTCACTTTGTGTGAATGCAGACTAAACACACACTTTTTTTTCTGTCAAGAGCATCAGGCGGTATTTTCGTTTCTGACAGACAGCTATTTCAGAGATAAATCCAGACCATTACAAACACGAACTGTGGCCCTGATTAATTGTGTGAGTTGTGAAAGTGCTTTGTTATGTCGAGACAACGTCGAGTGAAAGTGATTCATTACAGCAGCGTCTGACTGGAACACACATTAATAGTGTTTCCTTTACGCATGATAGCTCATATATCACAAGCAGAAACATGGAATATATATAAAACATGATGAATGATAACACAGGCCTGTCAGATTTAAAGTGCTTTTGTGCATATAAACAAAACCAAAAGGAGTTGTGAAAATTCCTTACAGAAGAGTATTGTGGCAGGATCGTGGTATAATGATGGCAATTGGTAGTACATAAATATACCACATCACATGGTATTTTATTTTAATTAAAAAATTTTTTTTGTTATATAAATATATTTTTATATAAAAACTATATTATAAATAAACTATATACATTTTGCATAAAGTTATATTTAAATAAGTTTATATAAATAAAATCATGTATATTTTTGTAAAATGTCAAATTATTTTAATATTTAGTAATTACCATTATGGTATATTTAAAGATAATTTGTTTTAGGCCTATATATTTTTAAATCATTGTGTATAAATAAAATGTTTCATATACTGTAAATTAAAATATTATATATAATATATAAAATTATATTATAAATCATTTTAAAATAATACAAATTTATTTGATACATTTTATATAAATAATATGCATTTGTTTGTAAATATAACTTAAAAAAATTATTTGTCAATATACTTTAAAAAACATACCACATTTTTTGGTATACCATGGTAGGGTACCAAGGTACTTCGAAGAATACCACGGTACATGTACAAATTACCGTAGTAATACCATGGTACTTTATTGTAAGTGATCGGATGATTACCATATTTACATGGTATTTCCATGTCCAAATAACTGTAAAACTACCACAACGTCTAAAAAAACACAACATTACCCCAATCTTTTTAGCAACCACTCCTCCGACGGTCAACTTTTGCTTGCGTCATATTTCTTCAGAAAACCCAAGCTAGTTCTTGATATAATGTAATTCCAAACACTTTTTAACATAAAAAAGTCATTGTTCTGCAACTGTTTCTTCAAATTTGAGAGTTGTAGCTTCAGCCAACCTTCCCAAATAAGCTAGACAAGCTACAATCATATCTGATGTAGATGTTGAGAGTGACCGCTGGATGTTTTCTGGTTGAACGGATGCTCGAATGTGAGCAACACAGCTGCAGTCAGGACAAATGTCAGAGCCGGAGAACAGGAGAGATCTGATAACAGGAACCGTCGATGTGTTGTGTCTGGTCTGGGCTTTTGTTTTCTAACACCTCTGAATATTTGACGATATATTGAAACCAACGCCTGGCGGGTTTTAACGCTGTGTGCTCAGATACCCGTAAATGTCACCAGTCGATGTTCTCACATTTTGCATTAATCGACCAAGGTTACTGTACGTGACAAATGAAATGTCAAGCAATATGTAGCTCTCAAAACATCTCCGGAAGAACTGCATTTTTCTCTTGGGTGAATCAGGAAACCATTTAGCACTTTGGGATTCTAGCAAAAAAAATCAATACGTTCAGACCTGAACCTCTTTGTACGTGTTTTATTGCTTTTGTGAGATGAACAGGGGTTAAAGGTCATATATGTGTGTGTGTATCAGACAGGATATAGTGTCATAATGGGCTCATACAGCTATTTTGTGGCACAAATTGTGGTAACTTATATAGAGACGACTGGGTGCATTCACACGCATCGCTTTAACACCTGTCAGACAGAGAGGAAATTAAATCATGTACTACCACTGGAAACACAAACACCCAAACGCACATACAGCGCTGATAAGACAGGCACTAATTGAAATTCCATTCTTAATGGCCCCTAAGAGCAGATCAGCAATGGGCCGCACGGGTGATTGACTTTTATTGTGCTTTTGGTGTCTGTCTTGACCCGCCTAACCATGATGCCTTTGGGGAAAGAAGCTTGAAGAAGCTGCTGTGGCGAATTTTGACGCAAGATGTTTTGTTTGGAGCATACTACATACTACTAGCATACTACTCCTATTTCTGTCATAGAAAAATATTGTAAAAGGACCTAGAGTAGTATACTAGTATGTGATTCTCCATTCATTATTATGCAAACAGGAAGCGACATGGAAGCTTACTATAATACTATGTGTTTTTGTACTACTATTTAAAAACACTGAGTAGTATGTTAGTGTGCTATTCGAAATTCAATTATTGTGATTTTGTGTGTTAGGAGCCAATGAATCCATTTGTTCAAAAAGACATCCAAATATGCATACTTCCCTTATAAATAATAGGCAAAAACCCAGTATCCCAGACAGCAACATAGTGTCGGCCCAGATCCGGGCCACATCTGATACAAGTGGTTTCACGCATACCAGATGTAGGCCGGATCTGGGCCGGTACTATGTTGCTGTCTGGGATGTGAAAAGAGTAGTACATCCAAATTCATAGTTTTTAATAGAATTCGAAAAGTACCTGGATGACTTGCTTCTGAGGAATTATGAATGGCTTGAAGTGACGCAGCTGATGCTGGTACAGTAGGTCACATGACAATGACAACATGATAAATAGTTGGTCTGGATTGCATTATACCACACTTTTGTAACGACCAAAATAATTCAAAAGAAGTACCACAGACATTATAAGAGTTTTGACGCAGCCTCAGTGAAACCAAAACAGGTTATTTCCCGATAGAGCATCACAGTCCCGCCCACAGCCGGTGCCGGAAGTAAAAATTCAATACAATTTCTCCATTGACAATTGGGGTATAAGCCATAAAAACGTAACCATACATGGTAGACTTAAAACCAGCTACGGCTGTACTAAGCGATTGTATATGCTCATATAAAGGCCAAAAGTTCATGGGGCACTAACCTTGTTTTGAGATAAATGCCTTTTATTCGCAATGTCTTGGATAAGTACTTCATTACCCACAATCCTGAACAATCCCACAATCCCACAGTGATGCATCTGATTGGTGGAAGTCGTGTAAGTGTCTGGTTACCCCGCGAAGGTCCGTGAAGACTGCAGATCGTGTAGTGACGTAGGGCTAGCTCATTGGTCGCATGTCAGAGGCGCCCGCGCCGCGCCATTGGATGTGCAGTTGCCGCAGCACAGCCTATGAGCGAGCCACATGCTGAATGTGTTAGCGGTGCAGATGCAAATGCGTTTTACACATAAGCTTCAGTAAATCGAGGAAAAGGAGTTTCCCTGTACATGCACTATATAAAATTCAGTGGAGGAAAAAGTTCACGTGGCCGTCGT